GACGCACAATGGCGCACCCCTCATCACACCATCCGGAACCCCGCCCCCGGAAGTAAACCAAACGCCAACCGCACGGAAACTCCCCAAGCCGCCGCGTCTCGTCTCAGCAGCCCCCGCTGCACCTTCACCAGCGGTCCCGGCACCGAGAGAAACACAATCTCCTGTCAAGAATATCCGTACAGTCTCGCAGGAGAGCCAAGAAAGCCAGTCGAGCCAGGAAAGCTGCGAGGGCGCACCCCCCGCCCCGGCCGTCCAGCCCAACAGTAACAGCAACAACAAGAACGCAACACCTCACCGCACCCCTCTCCGCCGCGTCCCTTCTCGTCTGCCGCTCCCGCGGCCCTCGGACCCGCCACCACAGCAAAGCCCCCTGACAATGGCAACCATCGCAGCCAAACTGGCAGCCTCAGAGCGTGAAGCCGACGCCGCCCGTGTCCGCGCGAAGCTCAAGGCAGCGCGCGGAGGTGCGCTCGGTAAGCCGGTGGCCGCACCCCAACAGCAGCAGCACATGCCTCCCCCTCCGCCAGAAACCATCATCACCATGCCACAAGAGCCTCAGCCACCCGTAGACTCCCCGGCCAAGACACGCGCAGACCGAGGAGACCTCGACCCCGTCAAGCGCGACATCTCGCAAGGCGACCAGATCCAGCAGTCGCCGCTCCAACCGACAAAGCGTAAGCGCGAGAGGCGCGTGAGTAAAGTCGCCTCGAGGAGGCGGAGCACGCTTAGTCCCTGGGAGATGGAGAGTCTCATCTCGGGTAACGTCGCTGTCCCGCCGTCGCCTGCTCGGTCGTGAGGTGCTCGTTGCTGTCGCATTTACATTCATTCAAACCTTGCAAAGAATCACTAGAAGCGAAGAGGAGGCCCCCCTCCTTTTTTGCTAATTACAATCACTTTATAATATCACTACCCCAATAACTCTCCTATGCTTTTCTTTGGGAGGAAACATCAATCTGTCTTTTTTCAAGGGAAAGGGGAGATATCCAACGGCGTTTGAGAAAAGGGGGGCGAACGAAGGAGCCGCCTGTAGCAGCCTCATATATATGGAAGCCGGCGGTTCCAAGGCAGGGAAGGAAACCCGTGGGCAGGCAGGAGTGGGAGGGGAAGATGAAATCGTCTTGTTTCATTCCGTTTTGACCTTTTTATATATCCGTGAAGCTTTGTTTTGGTCATTGTCGTACTCATTGCCAGCCAGACACTTCAATAGCGAGGAGCTTTGAATTAGCAAAACTAATCCACCTTTTTTACTTATTCATATTTTCGGTCTATTCATGCTGTGTGTGTCATGATACCCTGCGCGTGAATCTGTGCCATGAAAACCATTCACATTTATCAAGGAGAAGATCATGTGGAAATCGCCCGTTTTTCTTTTTTCATTACGGACAGCAAGTATCAAACACATGAATCCAAGCAGTTACGCTTAATGCTATGAGACCTACGTGATTCGACCGGAAAGGTCACAAAAGAAAACCAATAGCAACGTATCAACTTCTTGGCCAGTTGCTACCCCGCGACTACCAACGTTGAGCCACTTTCACTCACCAATTTCGGCCTCCACGGGAGTCAAGGGTTCCAACGGTACGGGGAACTCAGCTTCCCAGCTACCGTACACGACCTCGACTCCGTGAGCGCCACAAAACGTCCTCAGCTGGTCCATCGCCACACCCGTCAGCGCGCGCTGGTACACCTTCTTCAGCCTGCCCAGTATCGCGACGCGCTCGATGATGGCGCCGAGGCGCATCGGTTCGCACAGGTCCGAGTGAAGCTCGAGGACCTCGAGGTTGGGGAACGACTGGAGGAAACCAAAGAGGAGATCGACCGAGTCGATGCCGCGGCCCCTCTGCGCCGGGTCGCGCGTCAGGTTCTCGTGGGACTCGAAATCAAAATTGAAGAAGCCAAACGTGCGGACCGAGACGCTGCCACGAAGCCAGTCGAGCGCGCCGGGGAAGAACTGGCCCGGCTCCTGGCGCCAGCAGAGGCCGAGCTCCCGTAGCCTGCTTGAGCGGACGGCGGGCTCGAGGAGGACGGTGGCGAGGTCGACGCTCAGGGGCAGTTTCGGCATCCAGAAGCGCTCGAGGTTGGGGTAGGTGACGAGGGACTCGGCGGCCTCGTAGCCCGAGTAGTCGAGAGGCAGCTGCTGGGGCAGCCAGTCGCCGTGGTTGGACTGTAGTGCGGCGCGGGCGTCGAGGACACGGAAGGAGGACGGGTGCAGCGGCGGGAAGTGGCGCTTGTCGCCCATGGAGAGGGCGCCGCACGCCTTGCCGAGCTTGATTACCTGGAGGCCCGGCCAGAGAGACCAACAATCTTCTGGCGGAGCGAGGGAGTCTAGGCCAGTGAATACGCCAAAGTTGTCCATGTGTAGTTGTTCTAGGTTTGGCGTTGAGCGGGCGAGGGCGAACTGCAGGTGCTGGTTAGCAAACATGGTAACTGCGTGGATAACTTTGCAACAGCCAAAAAAAAAAAAAAAAAAAAGGAGAAATAGATGGAAGAGGAGGCACAACTCACGGGGTCAATTCGACGCTCAGGGGTTAGCTGATTCAATGTCGAAGTCAGCGGACCGGTTAACTGAAGGATCTTGAGTCGGGGCAGCTCCGGCCAGCCCAGATCGTTGAGGTGCATGCTGAAGAGGGATATCCTCTCGATATTCTCCCGGGCACGTTCGACAAACTGCCTCACGAAGGGCTGGGCGCCACCACTACTCTGATAATTCGGTCTGTTGACGCGGAAACTGAAGCCGAGGTGCGTGAGCCCTTCGAAGAAAAGCGGCTTGGGAGGCAGCTTGTAGCCCCAGTCGCCGCCCTCGAGGTTACGCTTGATCGCGCCGATCTCTAGGCGCGTCGTCATGCGCGGGTTCGTGGTCTGGATGAGAGACAGCCACTTTGACTCGTTGAGTTGGAAGGCGTGCGCGTTGGGGATGACGAGGCTACGGGCGCCGCCGCCGGTCCGCCTCCGCAACGTTTTTAGAAAGGAGACTCTTGGTGGCTTTTGCGGGTTAAGTGAAGGAAAATGGACCTGTCTCCAGATGTAGGGGTGGGTGTCAAGGAACTGGTCCCATCGTTTACAGACTCCCGATATTCGGCTGGCATTCCATGTCAGCAATTGAGTCAGGAGAAGGAGTGTCGGTCAAAGGACTTGTATCGGGCTGCTTGAACTCACCATAATTCATGAAAATCAAAGTAGGAAAATACTTTTTCAATCAACTCGATTGGTAACTCCATAGGGTCTCTCCGACAAAAGTGTTTGTGTAATGGTTCGCGGATCTTGCAAAGTTGCTGCAAGAGTTGAGGTTAGCGAATAGTCTAGCGATACCAAGTTCAAGTAGATATCGCATACTTCATATTTCGTCGTACTGGCGAGGCCTTCCTTTTGTCCAACCTCGATACCGGCACTCCACGCAGCCCATGCCATCTCGTGTTTCTTCTCCAACTTGTATATCTTCCCCAGCCTCATGTACCCCTGAAAACATGTTATTCACATGGAACCCAGCATAAGAGGAAGACAAGCACGCAAAGTGGTCAGGGAGCGACAGCACGCACAGCCAAGTCCGAAAAACAACAGAGCAAAGACTCACCTCCAACCGCCTCGGCGCAATCTCTAACAACCACTCCGCATCCCTGCGCGCCATATCCAGCTTTCCCATCTTCTCAAAGCACGCAGCCCGGTAGTCGAGCGCCTGGACGTGGCCTTCACGGTGGCAGCGGCCCCACGTCTTCTCGGCGCCGCATTTGCACTCCTTGGTGGCCTCCGCGTAAACGCTGCCCCTTTCGCGGCGGTGCCGGGCCGCCGCTTGAGCAAAGTCGCGGCACGTACACCTTTCCCGCCGGCGGCGCTGCTGCGCGAGGCTGTGGCCGTTCCCGCTGGCGTCTCCGCCGTCAGGACCTGCACCTCCACCACCTCCAGAACCTGCGGCCCCGAGCCCTTTGAGACTTCGAGAAGTACGACCACCGGAACTACTTCCTGAGCCTCCACCTGAGGAAGCAGGCCCTCCTCCCGAGGGTGACGAACATGGGCAATTCCCGGCGACGAGGGTGAAGTGCTCGAGTGCGACGCGGAAGCGCTGGTCCGCGTAGGCTGCGCGGCCCTTCTCGATTGACGCCTCCGCCGAGCGGACGCGAGGGAGCTGTCCAGGCGGCGCCATGCCTTTTTGATGACGTGGATGTAAAAGACTGTGGTCTGCGCAAAGGGATCCATTGAGACGGCTGGTCAGTTTTGTATACCTGTATCGGTTTGCTTTTGTTGAATGAGGCAAAAAGATCTCGCAAGATGTTGAGTCTCCTGCTTTGCAGAAAGAGTAAGGTTGTCGTGAACTTGAGGTCACGTGGTACTGGTGATATCTGGCACTCACTGGGGTAGAAGGAACTTTATGAACAAACGCTCGTCTGAGGAGACAATGAATCCGGGGATAGGCCAGCTAGTGCACAGAACAAGAGAGAGTGGGCATTTCGTCTCTTTCGCAGCTGGCCTTTTCTTTTCGAAGGATACTGAGGTCTTAATGAGAAAGAAGAAGCGGCTGACAGCTTAGATTGTGGCGGACGGGGTCGACGGTGTGATAGTGGTGTCGCCGAGGTGGAGGTACAGCATCTCCGAGGTTGGAAAGTGAGGTTGCGGGACGAGGGGCGGAACTCAGGGCGCGACGCGAACGCGACCGGATGTCCTCCGTAACGGGTCCCGCTGTGGCCCGTGGAAGGAGCGAGGAACCGGGGTTACCGCCGGAGGGGGCCCTCGTGGGGAAAGAAACGACAAGTTTCAGCGCCTTCCAGGGCTTATGCTGCTGTAGTTCCGCTGCAAAACTGACTTCCAGGGCAAATAGTTGTTTCTATCGATACCTTCCTTACCTTAACCACCTAAGTCCTGCCTTCCATCGGTCGAGTACCCAAGGTACCTAAATAACGATGAAAGGCAGGTAACCACCTCCCCTTGCCGTCTTCCATTTCCATAGCACCTTCTAGCTTTCTATCGGCGATTACCACAGATTAAGGAAATAACTCAGGCAAGATGCCATGACCCATCTCACAACCACCGCGAAACAAGCATCGCCATTCAACTGCATCTTCACAGCAATGACCTCATTCCACAGCAAACCCCGTCTTCCTCGATCACCATCAACCCCAGGTTGTTCTAGACCCCAAGTCCCCGAACTCCCCCAAAATCCTACCGAATCCTACCGCCACCGTCCCCGCGAGAGGACGGCAGACCTTGCCGACTCCTCCGCTCCGCATCCGCCACTGTCTGTGGCGCTCCCGTCAAGCTCAGATCGTTCTCCATCTATAGAGTAATTGCGCCTCGCAAGTCCCCCCCTGCTCTGATCACACACCTGCGCATCCAAGAGATCCTCCAACAGCCGACAGGGCTAGCTACGACGGATGACATTGTACGAGGAACTGAGCCTCAATCTCACTCGCCCACGCCTATCACCAGCCTCGTCACGCAGCCACATCTCACATCACTACCCTAAATCTCGAAGAACCATACGCCCCCTCGCCGTTATTTCTGGTCATCCTTCCATCGCAAAGAGCCGAGGACAGTCCCCAATTCAATTCAACAAGCCAGAGCACACCAAGACAGAGACCAAGCCTAGTGGTTCAGGGGGCGCATGGCCGCACCACCCAGCCGGTGTAACTCCTCAGCTGCTCATTGCCAGCGACGATCTCTGAGCTCTCGTTCTGTGGCACACGCTCTTCCAGGCAACGGCCGACAGGCAATTCACACACTTGTCCAACCAAGCCCTCCAACCGAAATGCAAAGAGATGTTTCTGGTATCATCTCGCCGTTTCAAGGCATCATTTTCAGGAACCAGACCCCGGGCGACAACGGCGACCAATAAGGATAGCCGCGATGTGAGCAACCCAGTAATCCAAGATCCAGCACCCCACCAAGCTCAAGATCGATTACTTGCGCGCATCCCCGGCTCTCTGGATTTAGAAGTCCCTTGCGTCTCGAACATCAGCAACCCAGCCCAGTCTAGCTTTCACCTTCAAAAGTTCCGCGAATATCAGCCTCTGACTAAGGTTGCAACTCGTACTGGGCGGCGTCAAGGAAGTGAGACAGAAGTGCCATGCTTTCCGCACCGGAACGTGTGTCTCCAAAGGTCAGCAAGTCTACCCACGCACAAAGTGGTGTGCCTTGCATGCTTCATGAGCATTGGACAGTGACCTACACAACCCAGGTAGAAGTGCCTGCATAGATTGGAGGCATGGGTTGCCATGTCACCCTTTCGACGACTCCTTCCGAGACTCGGATCCCCCATTTTGGCACACCGAGGCCCGCCCCCCGGCCGGCCGGGCATAGGACCTCGAAAGCCGCGGACGCCCATGCATATCCGCCTGGCACTTTTTTGTTCCTTCCATCACTTCGTACCGCCTAGTCGGCTGGTTCGCATCATCCTCTTGAAATCACGGATTAGTATCCCACTCAGCATGGGATTTCAGTTGCCTCTCTTTGGCAAAGTTGCCCACTCTGCTTCTCTCACCGGTCACCAGCGGCGGCACGTTAAAATCTGGGCAAATCTGCAGCCCCCAAAATAGGAATCCTTCAGCCAAGCCAAGGCAGGCCGCGCGTGGAAAGAATCCTAGATATGCATCATTTCCAAGTTTTCGAGTACGGCGTAGTCTTGCTTGACAATGGTCCCATGGCAAGGCGGCCGTCAAACAGCGACCCCTTCCCACCCCCTGTACGTCTTTCTACCTCGAGGTATGTCACGATGAGCCGGATATCGCGGTCGCAGGATCAAAAAGAAGCTCACAGCAGCTGCCTGCCGCTCCGTCCGCATCCGCATCCGCGACCCGCGACCCCTCACCCCGGCACCCTAGCATGGCTGAGGCCAAGCATCACGCGAGTCCGGACAACCCTCGAAGAAGCTGGCCAAGCATCGATTCTGCCCGGTAGGATCCGGTGCTTTGCGGTTCCCGCCGCAATTGCACATCAATATATCGCTTCCCATCACAGTGAGAAGCTGTCGATTGGTGCTGCTAGGCCAGTTCGTGTCTAGTTACCCGTCCTTCTTGTTTACATGCTTGCATGAAGATTGTTTGCCTCGAATCCTTCTGCAGCAAAGGTACCTACCTTCCCTGAGGTACGCTACCTACGGACAAAGTGCCTTGCACAAACAAAGGTTGCATACGCCGTCCGTACGGATGCTTGAGGCCGCATCCTGGCCCGGGCGGTCGGCCGCGGTGCGAACCCCACTGGGACACCCCTTGTCCGACAACAAACTGCCTTCCTCCAGGAGCTCCCGAAGTCGATATCTCGATTTCAACAAATCCTTCCTGCGATGCACGGTATCTTCCATTCCTTCGGCACGTCTTTGGCCATCAGAGGTCAGAAAATGCTGAGAATTCTGCCACACGTCCCCCCTCTACTTTCCGACCATCGAATGGGAATTAAAGAAAAGCAACGATGTGGAAGAAACTCAAATGATACCCAGCAAGGAAACAAACGCAAGCATCGTGAAATCAAACCACGAAGTATCCATAGTCCCACGATTTTCAGGTGAGGAGGCATCCCATTCACCGGGGGATCCTCTTTCAAAATGGAGCAAAGTTCAGATGAGAAGTTGCTTCTTCAGATGAACAGGACAGGGACATGCCCCTCCCCCCTGGCGTTTGGGCAGAAAATACGACCGACTGTCGTTTCTTACCCCCCCCCCCCCCCCAAATTGATCAAGTCATTTTTTGTCTAAATTTGAATTTTGTAATTCTTTGGACGATCTGCACAGCGGACAGCTGTCATGTCTGATGTCTCAAAGCCACTACTACCCTATGTACGGAGTACGCTGTACTGGCAAATGAGCCCAGGTCTTAAGCTCCGAACGACATGGCGTGTCTTTAGATGGCAGCGTAAGGATACATCATTGCATCTTCTCGGCATCTCGAATTGATGCCTAGGGATCAGTTCCCTTACGCCCATGCTTTCAATAACAAATACGTCGAGTCTGTATGCCGTACGTACACAAGAGTAGAATGCAAGGACAAAGCCAAAATGAGAGCAGGGGTGTGGGGAGGTTCCTTGGAGGTGACCTCATGTCGAAACCACCCGACCCAGCCCTCGCTCGGCGTCCCTCACATCTGGGAAATCTCGCATCTCACCAATCGTAAACTATGCGCTGCGCTGCAACCACCAAAACCAAGGCTCAGAGCCCTAGCGTCAAGCCCCGTCTAGACTGGCCAGACACTTCACGCCGCGATACACACACCTGCAAGACTCCAAAGCGCTTGCGCTTATGCATCCATAGGTATATGCGTGTCTGCGGCACGTGTCGTATCTCTCCCTCATCCGCTTGCGCCTTCCCGCGCCTGTCGTCTAAGTAATCTGATGAGAATCTTACTTGACCCTCCTTGATGGGTTGCCATGGTGTAGGGTTCCAACCACTCAACTCTCACTCATGACCCTCCAAACCCACCCGCCCACGCATACTTACACACTTACATACACGAACGTGCATACACATACACAAGTGCGAGCATCACATCACCACACACACATCATCCCCCTCCCCCCTCCTCAAGCCTGCGCATTCTTCACCGCAGGCAATTTTTGGCATCTTACTGTACGACACACCACCAAGGGCGGCAGCGGCAAGCGGCAAGCGGCAAACCCCACCACTAAGCACTCACTTCATCCCTCCCTCATTGGTATCATGTATGCTCACCGCCGCATTTTCCCCTAAGACACGGTCCAAAAAAGAAACACATGCAGCCCACACACCACCTACACTTCCACTCGCAATCACCCATGTACGCTACCTTATACTCACCAAGAGAAAGAAGACGCGGGAAAGTCCCATGCAGAAACCAAAAATGTCCCAAAAAGACATGCGTAATCCACCAAGACATTGATCTCATATCCCCGACCTCCAGGAGGTAATCCCATGTGCTCCCCATCCCCTGCCCGTACGATGTTCATTTTTAGACCCCACAGCACATCTTCCCGGGTTTTGTGATCCGTGGTCCGTCATCTCACCGAGTAGCTTTCACCCCCCACAAAAATCCACGCCGGCTCACCTGTCACGCCAAATGACACTCAATTGCGGCTATTCCCCAACAAGCGCGGAACTTCGCTTATTTCGGCGCCTCACGCCCATGTCCATGCCCTTGGCACCCACGCACCCTGGACCATCTGCCGCGACGGGCGCCGCGCGCGCGCACAAGCTCGCTTGTTGGGCTTAGCTTGTCAACTTGTCCGTCGCCCATTTCCCCACTCCCCACCATCCGTTCGTTGCGGTGTTCGTCTGTTTAATTCAATTCTCCCCTTCCGTCCGTCTGTCTCTCCCTCCGCACGTCTAAAAATAAATCTATTCTTAGAACGGTACCTCCCATGCATTTCATCCGTCTCTGTCTGTCCGCTTCAGGATTTGGACCGGCACATCACTCCCCATGCCCGTGTTACCTGACTTTGCCGTTCCCGAATTCCCAGTCCCTTCCTTTCGGGACCAGACAGACGCGACCCAAAGGAAACCCCACCATCCGCATCTGCGTACCCAGGTACGGTCCACGGATAGGTCTGTCCAAACTCACACGCCCTTCTTGGCGCAAGGCTTTCTTTCTAGGTACCCGTCAAATTCAAGGGTTTCCTCTTCCTCGTACTCTGTGCGGTACAGCTCAACCCATGGCAGATCTGACAAACACCATACTCCGCACCCATCCATGCATACGTCTCTTGCACTCCATTTCCCCCATTTGGACAACAGAACACACCACCCCCCTCCACTCCCGCTCAACACTGCTGCACTGCATCAACCCATCTCACCGGGAGTCTTTCCCACTCACCAGCCCACCACAACTTCACCACTGTCTCAGAATCCTTTTTCATGTTCTCGAGTCCCGACGAGTGGGAACTGCAGTCGAGGTACCCACCTACCCGTCCAAGATATCCATGTCATTCGGTTCCCGTTTTGTTTTCACCTTCTCCCAAACACCCTCCCCACCACCACCACCGCGCGCATTCCCATGATACCATGAAGCCCACGCAAAGGCCTCCCGCGGCACTCCATTCTCCTCCGTGCGTCCGGCAAAGAAAGCAGCCCCCCTCCCCGAAATCCCGTCAGCACCTTGAACCACCACCATGCCAATGGAAAAACTCAGTTTCTTCGCGTCTCCCATATTTCCCATTCGCATACGCCCACACACACACGCCCCCCTGCTTTTGCACCACCACCCCCTATCGCAAGGCTGAGTCTCGGCCGTCCAAACGAGGCTGGTCGTGGCCCCCAAAACAGATTTCGTTCCCCCTCAACCAATGGCGTGTAAGAGGCGGGCTCAACTGAGTGCTGATGCCTGCC